GCGCGCTATCTCGAACTACGGGACATGGCGCTTCAACTGTACAAACGGGGGTTAGAAATCGACCCAATGAATTCGCCCTAATCTCGGGGTGTACACGTGGCCTCATAAGAACTGAACCCTCCCTCATCTCCAGCTCCGTTCCAAGGGCCTGGAGTCAAGGGGCGTGGATCTTAGCCCAAGCCCAGGCTGGAGCTATCACATTCGTCTTACACGCCTCAAATTGCTATTGAGGAAAACAAAGGCAGCATAATACATTTCGTTTGCAAAATGATAACAGAAACGTATTCCGCAGGAAATAGCTTTAAAACAACATCCAGATTTACAGACAATATGCAATACAAATGAGCGTTAATGTTAGCAGCTGTCAAAAATGTACCAAATTGCCAGAACAAAGAGGAGAGAGAGACAACTGAGTTACTAAGACATTTGAAAACCTAATCCAACGCTCACTGACTGTTGTGTGGTGGCATTTCACATCCACTCTTCGTTCTTTAATGGAAAGACAGGCTGTCTTCGAACATTTGTCTAGGCTCCATTATCACTCTGTTGTCTTGCTCTCTTGGGAAGTACAGTTCACACATCAATCATTAATACTGTTTTAAATTTATAGAGCAATTCAATTTTCACTAAAATATTAGATCAAACTCAACTGCAAGTTATATGCCCAGACAATAACCCGCCTGTAACTGATTTCGTTTTTCATATTGTCAGGCCATCAACGGTACGGTAATTGAATTTCCATCTATCAGTCTACTGAAAATAAATAACATGATAACATAATTGTGCTCACACTATTTCGGTATTCACTAACAAACGGCTGAAGACAGGGCTGGTGCCACATACCTGCAGCGTCTCTCCTTGTGCCTTACAGGTGTCCCTGCATGTCCGACAGTCAACCTGCCCTCTCTTGGGCTGGATATGAGAGCCTCCTCCCAATGCCCTACACAACAGAAAGGGCCTCAGCCCGGTTAAACCTGCGGGAGGCTGATGTCTCTAAAGCCAAGCGGCATGAATGGAGGTGGACAGGTATTTATGGGGAGGGGGAATAATGGGGCAGTCGTGGAGGAGAGGGGGGGCATACTGAGCCGCTCTGACTTCCCCCTAATAACCATGAGTTCCCTGCACTCCCCCACTCCCCACATTGGAGAGTCTGGTCTGTGTTAGTTCTTCTGATAGGGATCGAATGCTTTTCTGT